ATGGATCAAAATGGATCAAAATGGCTCCGACTCTTCACCGACCCCGCTTTGATGTCCCAATCATTGCACCTGAGTCATGACGGTTGTCTCTGAGGCCTCAGCAACTTTTTTGAAGTGCTGGAGATACTCTGCCTGCAGCGCAGAGATATTCAGCTCCTCAAAAAGGCTGTATAAAAGGTGTGCAGTTTGTTGCAATCATCTTGAAGATTCTAAGATTCTAGAAGAAAATTGTCAAAGAAGAAGAGTAGCCACGCAGCCACACAGCCACGTGTTTCTGGCCAAACTGTACAACTGGCAAAGTCCGAAACAACTTCTCAGCTCTGTACAGCTAAGAGCGAAGCTGAAGCATGAAAAGAACCTTCTGCACATAAGCTTCAAGCCAAGAGCTATAAGGCATGCCTGCGATCCATTCCTTTGGAAGTTGGCTGAACCCCAGTTGGCACCCCAGGAGCGCTCCTGCCACCGTGCCGTTGGTATCTGCATCTCCACCTGCCAAAATCAAGCGATTCAGGGCGCTGCGGAAGGCTCCGCCAGTTTTGTCACTGGATTCACCTAGCGAACGCAGCGCCCACAGGGCAGCGCCCATGCATTTGAAAGTGTATCCAATCGTTCGCCTATCGTCCAAGGCCAAATCACTGATGTCTTTTGCCTCAGCATGTCGTAGCATCTCTTGTTTCCACTCATCCGTTAGACCTGGCGTCTGACTCGCCCTCATCAGGGCTGGCCGTACCACAGACTCTATGATGTCGTCCCTGTCCTCACCACGAAGCAAGCGGCTGACACAGAGAGATACCACCAGGCAGCTCGCAACACACCTGGGCTCTGCATGGGTGGTGCGGCAGAGACTTTCAGCAGCTGTTGCTACAACATCTTCGTTCCAGAAATTTGGAATTCCAGCCATAGCTGTCCTCATAACTCCACCGTTGGATGGAATTTTGGAGGAGTGTTTTGCAGCCACTTCAATGGGAGATGAGATGAAGTTGGGATCGTTCAAGACACATTTAGTTGTCTGACCCAAGCCTGCAGCGGACTGATCTCCAAGTTCCTTGAAACCACTATGGCGCCAATCAGCCAAGCGCCTCGCGAAGTCGCAGGGATCAGCTTGGCCCTTGCTACTCAAGAAGGATTGCATCATGAGAATCTGCTGATCCGTGTCGTCCGTCCAATCACCTGCACACCACATCATTCTGTGCTCATCAGGAAAAACTTCACGGCCAGGTTGAAAATCTGCATCTGGCCCATAGAAGTCCAACGTTTCATCAGCACTAAGGAACTCTGCAGCAAGTCCAGCTGAATCGCCCAAAGCCGCACCAAACACCGTGCCCCTGATGCGATCCGCCAATTTCTCGGCTGCTAAGGAGCTTGCACCAGCTGGTGGCTCTGGCCAAAGATCAAAGCGCAAGGCTTCAACGGAAGCCACGGTGGAGAGCAATTGGGCGGAACTCAAAGGTTGACAACCTGGTTTGTTGATCTGCCAACAGTTTCACTTTTAGTTGATGTGGTAAATCCATTATTATACAATATATTACAATATATTACAATATATTACAATATATTACAATATTATACACCCAAAAACGCAGTAACAATGTGTAACAATCTTGAGTGTATGGCTACAATCCAGCAACCCAAAGATTTTTGCAACCGCTGAAATGCCTCTCTGCGCGGCCGACTTTTAGCAGGAGATGTCTTCAGTTTTTGAAGGTCCTCTTGAACACTGGGAGTTGCACCCATGGCGAAAGGTGGAGATGCTGGAGTCACTGGAGACTGCTTGAGCCACTGCGGGTGGGTACCCCATCATCATGTTGTCCACTAAGGGTTGACCATGATGTTGACCATGATGTTGACCATGATGTTGAGCATCATCATCATCATCGTCGTCGTCGTCGTCGTCATCATCATCATCATCATCATACTCATACTCATACTCATACTCATTATCATCATTATCATCATTATCACCATCATCATCATTTCATCATCACAATCCTTGTTACAATAAATCATGTTCTTCTTCCGGGTTTTATTCATCTTCATCTTCATCATGATCGTGATGATGATAGCGTCAGGAGAAGATGTGATAGCATGAGATCATGGTGGAATGGCTGAGTCAAGTAATGATGCAAGTAGAATGATCCCTCCCCACCCCCCCAACCAAACCTTAAATGGCTGAGTCAAGTAATTAGATGATAAGAACGATGTTTTCCGTGTTGCCCAAAGTGATGAAATCCGTGTTGCCCAATGTGAGCGTCCAAAGTGTGAGGAGTGTGTGATTTCTGGATGTTGCCTGAAGTGATGCGTTTGGTGTTGCCCGAAGTTATGCGGGTACCCTCGCCCTCCGGTCCCTCATGATGGTCAACATGATGATGATAATGATGATGATGAAATATGTCTATTGTTGACGACGACGACGACGACGACGATGATGCTGATGTTGATGTTGAGGTATCCCGAAGCGATGCATGAGGCGTAGCCCGACGCGATGCACTCGACGTATCCCGAAGCGAAACCCTTTCCATGGTGAGTCTGCGGGTTGGCCCATGGATGTCCGGTGGATGTCCAGTGGATGTCCGGATGCTGCTTCTCAATGCTTCTCACGCCTGGGAGACGACAAGCTGACCTCACAGGACTTTGGGCTGCGCAAAGCCTCAGGTCGGGTGACATCTCTCACACTTCGTCAGACTTCGTCATGTCATACCGTCATATCTTATTCTTATGATGTTATGGTATGTTATGGTTGTAGGATGTTGCAGGTGGTATAATGTGGTATATTCCTCAATTCTTCTTGGGTGTTCGCTATATTCCATATCCGCATGACTGCATCGCGTGTCCAAATCAGCTCTGCTTCTTGGAATAAGGCCATGGAATTCCTGCAGGCAGTCGGTATGTCTCCAAGCCTTGGATCACGCAACAAGCGGACAAGGATGGCCCTGTCACAGCAACAAACTTCACCATGCTGACTACGAGACGATCTGGACGGTACCAAAACATATACGAAGAATGACTCTCTGCCACCAAGAGTCACTTTCTCGAAGTCAGAGCCCTTCACCTCCTCGCATGTTTTTGTTGTCCTTGGACTCTGCACAGTGCCCGGAACTGCTGTCTGGCACATGTAAATGCAGGCAACCAGGCAACCGTGAAACTGAAGTCAAAGTTGCACTGCTAACATGTGTCCACCTGCTCAACAAAAAAAGAGAAACCCTTTGGATCCAAGTCCCAAACGGCTCAGTCCCCAAAGCCGCCACTGGAATTTGGGCCTTGGCAAATTCGTGGCCGGTGGGGTTACCAAAACTGACCTTGGCTTTTCCAGTCGATTCAAAAGAAAAGGACATACTCAGACAAGAACCATGCCAATCACTGTCAATCACTGAGATACGGTGACTCAATTACATTATGCAGCAGGCCGATCAGCCCAATAGGCACATAGGATTCGTATCACCTGATTTGAATCAACAAAACCACATCATTTTCCACGGGCTGAGGCAAAGTCCCACTCCTGGTGTCGCTTCTGCTGCTCACGAAGCTCTTGCACCTGATCGAAACACAACAAATACATTAAAATACATTAAATACATGGTTCCATGGATCAAAGATATCAAATGTGCAACGGAAACATACTCACATACCCATACATACCCTACAACTGGCCCTACAACACTCTTGTTGGAGCTCTTGTTGGAGCTCTGTACGTTCACCTATATGTGCAATGAGTGACCAGCCCGGGCCTGTCGCGTAAGGCGCTCTATCTGTTCCTGCTGCTCCTCGCACTCGTCCAATGTCTATTTCCCGAGTAACTATGACTAACATCAACTAACATCAACTAACATCCCCTGAATCTACAGTGAAATATGATGAGTATATGATGAGTATGTTGTGAATATATGTATCATAGGTACAGCTCTTCGAGGTCTCTACTATGTCCATTTCACCCACAGTTACTCAACATACTTGAACATGTCTGAACTTATCTAAGCTCAACATCTGCAGTCCTTGTTGGGCCACAACCTCGGGGATGTGGCGCATGTCGCGCTGGCGACCGTGGCCGCATTGGGCTGCCAAGACCTGCTGGAAGTCTGTCTGTGCGATGGAGCCACCTCCGCACCGCCACATAGCGTAGAAAACATGTCGTCGTGGTACCCTATGGTACCCCCGAAAACCGGTTTGGCCGTGTCGCCCTGTCAGTCAGTCAAGCGAGTCAAGCCTCATGTTCATGTTGTCATTTTATGTCATTTTATGTCTTTCAATTTGTTGTGGAATGCAACTTTGAATCATTCTGAAGGGTACAGCGGTCGGTATACCACCCATGTTGGGATATTGCTGGAGAGGTTTACAGTTGATGATGTTTGGGCAGATTGTCTGATTCAATGAAGTTGGTCAGTCAAAGGAGATTGAGTCTGAACAAAACTTCAGCAGTTGAAGTCTGTCTGTCTGAGGCAACAATCACAGTTTGATCCAAGCAACACATTGGCTCCACTGCCCACGTGTGGCAGGATATGCTTGTGGCGGCATTGAGATGCGCTCAGCTTGAATTGCACCTGCAATTGTTTGCAGGCCAATCATCTCTCCTTACATCTCAAATGCCTCCATATTTCCACTCAAAAACAAGGTCAAAAATGTGGTCAGGATTGCAAACTGAAGCCATCTATCAACACAACTTCCAGAATCTCTCCAAAATTCATCCCCAGAGCCTGAAGAACACCTTTCCATGGCCTCCAAGCTCGGCAGAATACGTTTTATTCAATAGAGCTGTGCATTCCACGAACCAGCTTGCTCGCGTACATCAATCTTTCCAAGCTCCCTATTGCTTCAAGTATAAGTACTTTAGTATACTTGTCGTATGGACTGCTACTGTGCACCTTCCACAATATGACAATCCGCTGTACCACATCCCGAGCCAACAAAACGAGCTGGGGAAGGTACTCTCGACTGAGATCCAGAGCGAATTATCGTCCTGCAGACATTGACAGATGAGTTATATACCTACCTCCATCTGAGGGCTCTGAAGACTGCTTTCGAAGAGATCAGCTCTTTTCAGAAATCAGAGTTTGATTGCAGGCATCATGACGCAACTCATCAGAATTCTGAGGTTGCCTTACATCCCATCATGTCTTCCTGCAAGTTTTAATCTTCAAAGCATTGCCGCAAAAACTGGAGCATCGGCGACACCCGGAAGTTGCATCCTCACTGTCGCTTTGGGTGCCCGGGGCGTGTGCAGGAGGACAGGGCCAGCCTTTCAGGAAAGGTGTCCACAGTCCATGTGAAAAGATTTCCAAATAGCTGCAGCTTGCCTGGGCCTGCATTTGCAAGGGTTGCAGCGGCTTTGCTTGAACAGGATGAGCAAGGGGTTGGGCAACGCCAGCAATGCGTGCCTCTGCACAGCTGCCATGCACCTCCCTTTGCCAACATCAGGAATGAAGAGCAGCAACTGCTTTTTTCTTTGTCAACTGAAGCGGCCGACCTGTACCGGTGGCCGTGGTGGGGAGGCACAAGGCCTTGCAGACCTGAATATCATTTTGGTCGCAGGCTGAAGGCAAACACTCTTCAGCACTTATCATTTTCTCTGAGGCCCAGTCGGCGACCGCTCTAAATGCTCGATGCGCGTTGGAAGAGCCTGCAGATACAACTCATGTGGCATCACTCTGAACCTGTTTAGATATTTCCCAGTCTCAAAGTCATCCAGTTCATCACAAGACTGCTGCAAGACTACATTTTGCGGGCAAAATGACAAAGGATAAAAAGCGGTCGCAAGACGTGGAAGCTGTCCTCCAAAGATGTCTGGCGCAACGGCTTTCGACAAGGCTCCTGACCTTCATGGATGAAACATCATCAAAATCAGAAGAAAACAAAGGAAAGGGAAAGGACGTGTCTATGCAGCTGGGAAACGCTAAGACATTGAAGCAAAATGTCACTTTAGTCTTGATAGCAGAGCATCGTTCAACAGGGGGGTCTCAGCTTGAGGCGGTAAGCCACTGTCACTAGCCTGCCATTTGTCGGACGGTTGCTATGATGCATAGTCACTCAGTTCTCCTGATGTTTGTTGATGTTGGTTTGGAGTCAAAGCTAGCTACCAAGAAAAAAACGATTCCACACTAACACATACTAACATGTCTTGACCAGTGACCAATGCACATCATTGTCGGATACCAAAACACTGAGAACTCAACACTGGAGCTGCAACTGATGCAGGCCGCATGAAGGGTATTGCCTGTCAAGGACTGGGCTTGACATTTTTGTCAAACAGAGATCTGCCCCACACTTGCACGGCTAAACGAATAGATCCAGAAAATAGTGTGGCAATGCATGTAGTGTGGCAAGGCGCATTTCATTTTTGTCTGTTTGAGAATCGGAGTCCAGCAAACATATTAGAATCTATGAAGAATTAGGTCATGATCCTGAACACCATCAATACCTGCCTGAGGCACACAGACCAAAGATTTCGGCAAAAAATGCCTCTAATTGGACATGCTTGAGCCAAAGATGGCCCCATCGGTCTTGCTGGTTGGACGGATTCAAAGAACTAGACTACTAGACTTTCCCGGTGAAGTATGTAGGTAGGCTACACATGGAATAGTTGTGTGTGTGTGTTGGAGTAGTATCTCATAATACTTGTCAGCAATCTATTCTGTCCCATAAGCCTTTCAATAGTCGCAACAGCCAGGGACACTCGTTGTCTTCAGAAACCATGTAGAGCATCGCAAGGTCGGGGGCTGCTTCATGTGTCAATGTGTACCTGTCGCCACAAGATTCTTTTGAGATCCTGTAGTTTCTGATGGCAAACATCTTCAATGACAAGCTATGACAGCTATGACTGGCGACTGTTTCCTCATGTTTTCTCCATGTGCGAACGTCGGCACGTAGCTGCTGAGTGCTCCCAGCCATTCACAGAGACCTGCCAGAACTTTCACCTGGTGTATGCACTTCCTATAGGTAAGGCATCCTTCTTACAAAGGTCTCAACGCCAGGCCGACTTAACCAATCCTTTGGAACTGACACATTCGTTTGGATTGTATCCTTGGATCCGACATGGATACTCAATGACTGGACAGTGCATACACCTTGGCCGCTGCAGGCATATTGCAGCGCTCTTTGCTGTAGTCTTGCACTGCTTCATACACGATTTCATGCCACTTACGGGTCATTTTGTTGTTGGAAATTGTCACACAAGAGAAATAAATTTGGGGAAAGCAGAATCATTTGAGCCATGAAGAAATACCCCTATCCAATCCCGTGAAATTCTGGAAGATATGAACATATATATATATACAAGTACTGTATCCCCGTGAAAATTATGGCTGAGTTCTGATGAGTTCATAATCCCACGTGGTAAACCCAATAGTAAAACATCCCCAAAAAATAACCATGAAATCACCATAGATGGGTGGTATCAACCATGATAGGGTTTACCACATTAATCATCAATCCAAACCAATTAAGCCATCAAAAGCCGGGAAGCCCCACTGCTGCACCAAACTCGCCGCTGCGGGCTACGTGCTCGGCAATCTGCGACCGGGACACCAGAAAAATGCTGGCGATGGCTCCAAAAATGGTGGGAACAGCCACTTACAGCCATGAAATAGTAAGGAAAAGGATGATAAACAGTGCTAAACCATCCATTGTGTCTGATTTTCATGATTTTTGCTTTTACATGCTTTTACCATAATTTTTCATGTTTGTTGTACACTGGCAGCAGCAAACTCTTTTTTTCCTAAGATTTCGGGTCTGTATTCGAATCTGAATCCATCTAATCAAATCACTGAGCGGCGCATAGTGTCCAGCTTGAGGAATCAGCTCTCAAGCGAATGCACACATCGCACGACTCCCTAGGCTCTTGAAAATCAGATCAAGTCATCCAAGTCTCAGCCTGGAGTGAAACATGGGGAAAAGATGGGAAAAGCCTACTGGCCTCCAGTGGAAATTTCCTGCCTCCAAAGCTTGGCAATTTTGGCTCAACCACAGCTGCACCCGCTTCATCGTTGACATTTTGCAGTAAAAAATCTCGGTTGCTCAAGCCAAAATCTCCGGCAAGTGGAGGCTGTCACGTCTCCCACCACGAAACCACAGCTCTTCCCACACCAAACAGTATTGCCATTATTTTGTTGTATCATTGAAGTTACCAACAAAATACTGCTGTCCTGCTCTTCAGAATATAACGTGTTTCTTACTCCAAAGCTGGCTCATCTCAGAATCTTTCCTGGTATTGAGATGTGGCTGCACATTTCAACAGCACCATCTGTATCTTGAGCCAAACAGGGTCACTATGTACATGCAGCTAGGCTAAGTCAAAATCGCCACGCTGCTCTCCTACGATCACTGCTATTTTTTGGCCGCTGCCACTACTCGGTCATGCAGAGTGGTTCCTTCCAGGATCTCAAACTTTAGAGCCTCGGTCTGGTGAAAATGGCAAATGTGTGGGACCTTTGATGAACTGTTCAAATCTGTTGAATATCAATGATCTGCATATGACATGTCTGCTGGTAGCACAGAACCCAAAAAATAAGTGGTCTTGAAATCCAAGAAACCCTCGGCGGTCCCATCGCACTACCATCCCAAATCGATGCACCATCAAGCTGGACGTCGAAGGCATTTCGTTTGTTGACAACCTTAAAAGCATCAAATCACGGGCAAAGTCCTAATGATCCTTGGAATGTTCTGCATTTGTGAATCAAGGAATCCCGAATGCTTTCGTTTCGTATTGTTTCCTTGTGGCATATTTCATAGAAAACAGACAGTCCGCTGAAAAAATTGGTTTCGTTTAGAAAGTTTCGACACAATTCAAAACTAAGCTGAAAGCTTTCACATTGGCCTCAAGTGGAAGGGGTCAAGAAAGCACTGTAGAAGTTGTCAAATTTGACATGTTCTCGCTTTCTCCCACTTGACACTGACACTTTTCTTGGAAGAAAACCTGTTTCTGCCATGTTTTTCCCTCATGCGCAATCTCAAATGATTTTCTCCACACGCAGTTTGCAAGCAAGGTGCTGAGGGAAACATATCTTTGAGGCCAGAAATCAGAGAGTTCCCGCGGTTGCGATACGTGTTTCAGCTGACCTTGGATTTCAAGTGCGCAGTTGCAGGAACAAAATTTGAGGCCCAAGCGGGGGGTGAACGAAAGCTAAGGTTCACATGAGCCTGGAAACGTGATGGGATTTTGAGGGGATTTGGACATGCTGAATACAGATTGCCTAGAGACCTAGAGACCTTGCAGGATTTGAGCCCGTGGCCATCTGCTTCCAACGCCCCAAAATGCCCCGGGAACTTGGGGTGGGTTTCGAGTGAAAAATTACTGTGTTTACTGTGTTGGACTCGGGCCTGCCCCTCCCCTTGCGAAAGCAAGAGTAACTCCAGCTAGCTACCGCTAGCTTTCGTGAACACGCAAAAACATCTACAAGATCTGTTTTGATGCGACAATGTATTGTTAGAAACTCTGAACCAAACTAGAACTCAGAATAAACATCTAGCCTAGAAGCACAATGGGCCACCTCAAATGTGCCTTTTACCCAGTTCTCCTGTCAAGCTCTGCAGAGGAGGTGCTGGTTACAAACTCTATTTGCTAGGTAAAGAAGTGGAGTGAGACTTTGTGACAGCTTCCATGAACCAGCGCATTTGACTAAGTGATTGAAGCAAAAAGTGGAAGCAGCGGAATCAAACCTCCTCTGGACAGTGTTCCATCCGAAAATGTGATGATTGAGCGGCGGCCAACACGCTGAGAAAAATCCATTTCTACCGTGAATCATCCATGCGAAACAATTGTTGATAAATCCCATCTACATATACATATCGATCAAATATATATATATATATATATATATACATATATATATATATTATAAATATATATATATATGCATATTGTATATATACACTGTATATGCATTCTATATACATTGTATCTATATTGTATACACATTGTACATATATATATTATGTACATCTTATGTATACCCATGACAAATATATATATATACACACTATATATATATATACATAATAGATACATATACATAATATACACATTTATGTATACATGATATATACATACATTGTACTATATATATATATACATACATGATATTTATATATAATGTGTATATATATGTATATTATGAATATATATATATATATGTATATGCATTATATATAATGCATTTTTATGTATGTGTACAGTATACATGTATATTTACATTGTATGTATACGTCAAATGTAAATATACACTATATATACATTATATACATATATACAAATATATACATTCGATTTATATGCACATTAATTATATATATATACATGGTTTAAAAATACATTGTGTTTCTAGACACATGATACATGATACATATATATATATGTATATGCATTATGTATAATGCATTTTTATGTATGTGTACAGTATACATGTATATTTACATTGTATGTATACGTCAAATGTAAATATACACTATATATACATTATATACATATATACAAATATATACATTCGATTTATATGCACATTAATAATATATATATATATATACATGGTTTAAAAATACATTGTGTTTCTAGACACATGATACATGATACATATATATATATAGCTAAGTGATGTGTATATATATATATATATACATTTTGATATATTTCTGTACAACGTATACCATGAGTATATAATGTATGTATATATAATATAATGTATGTATATATAATGTATATTTATATATATATAATGTTTTTTCTAGAATGTATACATATAATGTTTATCGGAGGAAGTTTAGAAGTCAAACTTCCGACTTCCAAACATCGATACTATCTGTATTTTCATAGTTTGAGGTGTATACAGTACTATACAAGGAACAAGTTCCAGCAAACAACGGCTTGTGCCATGGCCTTTTGGTGACAAGCTTCAGGGCCCTGAACAATCGTCACGATCAGGGCGTGGCTGGGATTAATGATATCGTTTCGATGTACAAACAAGATGCAACAGAATGTACCACTTGTGCAAGACATGTAAGAAATCTCAATATGAAGAGAGAGAGATATATATATATACAGTATATATATACACACATATGATGTGGATTACGTGAAATAACATGTAAGATTCGATATGGTTGAATTTCAATCAGGTAGGCACGTCAACAGAAAATCCTGTTCACACCGCCATATATAAAGACCAATCGGCAGGGGTGGTGCGTCAACAGGCTCAGGTTCTGGCGGATTGTGAATCCCAGCACCCTGGAGCTGACAAGAGGTGGATGGCTATCAGGCCACGATAAAAATACTGATCATCCCTCATTCATATAGGAAAATCATGGGAAAACATGGAAAAAACCTATGGAAAATGATGGAAACATATGAACATATATAGAAAATGTAAATCGTTTTGACCCGTCCCTAGTTACAAACAGTAGCTTGTTTTAGAATTTCGCGACCAAAGATCCCTGAAACTTGGGCAGATTACAAATTACTGTGGAGCAAAAAGGCCCGCAAGCTGCTCAGTTTCTGACTGAACCAATAGCCCCTATGGATCAAACTCGTGGCACCATCGTGAACATGAAAATAGATCAATTGATGTTCGTCCCCAAAAATATGTGCAATGTAATAATGTGATGTAACAATATGTGACATAAAAACTATTCTGTCCTGCGCAAAGTGGCGCATCAACCACGCCACACCAATGTCCAAGTTCTCCTGACCGGGAAATATCCACGACAAGTCTTTGGTCTAGCAACTTCTGAGACTCTGAAAAAGGGAAGGCCAGGGTTATGAGTCTCCTCGATGAAGTTGACGAAGCCGCACATGGTCCAGGTTGGAGGTGAGCGGCTAGCGAAAAAGCTTAGAATGTTTGAAACTTGAAAGCTGCAGGTCTTCCACCATTTACCGACCAAAACTTATAGCACGCACCACATGTGTTCCATAGTAGGTAGGGATCAGACACGTGTGTGTGTGTATACGTCTGTGTAATTTATATATACATATATTTATATATATATATGGCAAGCAACCTATACCCGGATTGACGCGATGGAATATCATTCCAAAAGTGCCGGGCCTCCACCGCCTCCTGAAGCTCTGCGAGGAGGACCGGGTTCTGGAGGACGTAGTCCTGTCAGGAAGGGATATGGCAGCCGCCCTACTTCCCAAACCCGAAAGCAAGCAGCCGTGCCTCCAGAGGCACCGGTGCCTGGCATGCAGCAAGGCAAGCGATTCAGGTGCACTTGTCAGTGCATCACCCCAAACGCGCCTCCTCAAGCTCCACGTCGGCCCAACGGCCAGAGAACATGGTCGTCTCTCCGATGCAGGCCATTGTTGACTGGGTGATCGGCGATAGATATAAATACAGGAAGAGAATACACGGAGCAGAGGGGTGACGCCTGCGCGCATTTGTGGTGACAAGTGGAAGATTTGATCTGAGGCGCGGACAAAGGGAGCGAAAGAAAGGCGGGTGCAAAGCTTGAAAGAGGGCTTAAAAGCTTGAGAATTGCTGCGGGCAGGTCACATATATGCAAAGGTTCAACATGTAACAATG